TTTTTTTTTTTTTTTTTTTTTTTCCCAATGTGGTGGGGGGGAAAGTGCAGAGAAGAGCCTCTTTAGAGTGTAGTTTGGAGAGAGACACGGAGGGCAAGCGTATGTGAGAGAGGGAGGGAGGGAGGGAAAGAAAAAGACCCCTTTTACTGTGCGAGAACTTAAGGGGGTTTGGAGATCTGGTCAGCTTTCACAAACATCTGAATCCTCTTAGAGGTTCCCGGCCCAGCTGTGAGTGTGTGTCTATGCGAGAGGGAGAGAGAAAGAGTGGCTCCTGGTGCCCCTCCAAGCGCATTAAGGACACTTGGGCCTTTTAATTTTAGGAATGAATGCTGATACTTGTGTTTCTTATTGTGATCCGGCTGCCATGGATTCCTACTACAACGCAGCCTCCCAGGACACAGAAGGCTCCTCGCCTTTTAGGGCATTTCAAGCAAGTGACAAGTTCAGCCCTACTTTCCTGGCCAGCAAAGGACAAGGCTTTGGTGACAGCAGCACTAAGTGCCGGAGCCGCTACAGCCAGCAGGAATGTCAGTCCCTGGATGGCAGCGTGCAGGCTCCCGGCTCTGCCGGGTCTCCGGCCTCCTTTAACAAATACCCTCCGCAGCAGCAGCCGCCGCACCTCTATATGCAGCGAGGCCCCTGCAAAACCCCCCCGGACAGCAACATCAAGCTGCAAGAGAGCAGCGGCCACAACGGAGCCCTGCAGGTCTCCTGTTACGGTGAGTCCTTGGCGTGCGGCGGGGAAGCACCGGAGGCGAAAGCGGAGAGAGACTCCCGGGCCTGGGAAGGACCTCCCGGGAATGTGGGGGGTGGCTGCCTGGCAGGACAAACCCTACCGGGGTCAAGGAGACCTTGCCCGGCTCCGGAGCGCAGCCCTCTCTCGCCGCAGCGTGGGCCGCCGTGCCCCACGAGTATCTTCATTCCCAGCCGGGTCTGGAGCCCGCGATGCCCGCGGGAAGCCGCCCTTCCCCCGTGTCCCCTTTAGCCGTGATCGTAATCGTAGTTTCGGATTGCGGGCGATGCGCTCCCGCAAAGCGCTAGCTCTTGTGCCTCGCGGGGAATTCCGCGGAAAGCGGGACAGAAACAGAAAGAGCCGGAGCGCCAGGCTGCGCAATGTGCTCTCCGCGGGGACCGTTTTCCGCAGTAGGAATTTCTGCACAATTTCGCCGACATCATCTCTGTCCGCGGTAACGGCCTCTCCTGTCTCTCACTTTCTTTCCTAATTGCCACTCCCCTAATTGATTTCTGCCCGGCTGCAGATAACCCCCTCGCATCCCCTCCGTGGGTCATTAGCAGTAATTAAGACACTCCCTCGCGCTGGCGCTCGACAGTACAGCCGGGATCGGGGGCGCTTCTCATGTCGTTTCCGACCGTGGCTTTAAAAGGCTTCTTTGGAAGGCTTCCGCTGTATCGGAGCAGCTAGGGAAAGGCAAAACAAACAAACAGCCCCCCCTAAAAACAAACAGAAAAATTCAACAATGAAATAAATAACCCCCCTAAATTTTCCCAAGAAGAGGAGGTGGAAATGAAAGCTTTTCCATTCCCTCCCGGTGATCTCTCTGTGGGCAGAGGGGCTGCCCCGGCCTAGATTCAGAGCGTGTCTCCGCTGTCGGAGTCTCATTCTCGATGCGTTAGTCCTAAACGCAAGGACAGCTATAGGACCGTGTCTCCAGGGCGACCCTAAGGCGGACAGTGACTATGGACTGGGGGCACAGAGGAGGTGGAAGAGGTCCGGGTCAGGCCAGCAATCCCACTTCTAGTCTCCCGCCGTCATTTGAGCACTCTTTGCTCTATTTACCCTTTTTCTCCACCTCTAGACTTAAAAGAGGGTAGAAGCACCTTACTTACTTCTGCCTGTCTCCCAAACCCTGGCTTGCCATGTCGCCTTCAGGCGCCATCCTTTGCCCCCTTCTTGCAGCTGAGGTGTCCCCGGATCCAGCTCCACAGCCCCAGTTCCCCGAGGCACAGGTGACTCCTCTTCACAGGAAAAGGACATTAAGTCCTCTCCATACAGACGTGCCCGGGAACGGCAAGTATAGCCCAGCTGCGCTGCCCCACACGGGCTCCTGCCCGGACCCGCACGGGTCCCTACCGCTCCCGGTGGCACAATCATCCTCCCGCGGGTATGTCCTCACCGGGCCCAGCAGTGGCATGAGGGCTCTCTTTTAGGGCTGCTTGCACACATTTTCTGGCCAGAACTTATCTCTTACGCTCCCTCTCTTCTCCTGCCCTTTCCCCCTGGGCGGAAAGGGGGAACCCTTTCCCCCACCAGCGTCAGGCCCGCTCCGCATCCACGGAGGCCCTCTGGAGCCATCCCGGGCTCCGCGGGAAAGGACACACGGTGGGACCGGGGAGACCTGCGGGGCTGCGGCCCGTGCAGGAGGCAATCGGTTCCCGCTGCCTCTGGGAATGGGATGGTAGGGCAGCCCCCCGTGCTTTCCCCGCCGCCCTGACATCCTCTCTCTTCTAACCGGCTCTCTTGTTTTTGTAGGTTGCAAGGCCCAGGGCGCCGGCATAGCCTGTGATGACACATTACAACCCCCCGGTAGAATCACACGAGTTTATTGCCTTCCTAACACCGCCAGGGTCCCCCTGATTTATTTTCAAGCGAGGCTCGGGGCTCTCCTTCAGTGGGAGCCCCGCGGCGGCGGCGGGTGGCCCGGCCCGGCCCGGCCCAGACCGCGCTCGTTGTGAGCCCCTTGTGATGTGGCTGGGGACGGTGGGCTGTAATGAGAGACACATGGTTCGGCAAGGATAATTAATAGCAATAGCGATAATAATAGTGCTTAATGGTTGAAGAGAGAGACTTGCTAATAACAGACAGATCGGGGTTTCGCGGAGTGACTGCAGCATCCATAGGCGCCTCTCCGCCTTTTCCCAAACTGCGAGACCTCTGCGCCGGGGCAGGAGTTGTGCCCGAGGAACCCCCGCGAGGGCTGAAGGGACGGGGAAACCTCCGAGTCGGGGTAGATCCCCTCGGCGCGGGTGAGCCCGGGGCAAGAGAAACCCGCCCTCGTTCTCCGCAGCGGGCACAAGCGCGGCCAGCAGCGCACACACGGCGCTCAAGGCCGTGAGGAGAGCCACCCGGAGAGCTCTGCTCGGGAAGCCGGGGACAGGCGACTGTCCCACTGCTTCCCGCCGACACCCCGCCGCAGCTTCGCTGCTGGTACTGCCGTGCGCGTTGTGCGGAGGTGAAGGAGCGTGTCGGGGACCGCTGGTTCCCCGCGTCTTCTGCTGTCCGGGCCTGAGCAGCATGCTGGAGTGGTGGGACTCCGTGACTGTAACCCCCTCAATTTTAAAAACAACAAAATCCCAAAAGAAGAGGAAAAAATACCCAACCAAGCAAAACACAAACCGAGGCCAACCAGCAGGCAGGCTCTCCTGCCAGGCGATACCCGGGCGGCGCTTCCCCTGCGCCCGTCGCTGCGGCGGGCCCATCGCCCGGCCCGGTCCCCTCCTGGTGCTCCCCGCACGGTGGCCCCGTAGCCCTCGCCTCGCCTTTCCCGTGGTCGCTGTGGAGGCCGGGGAGAGCCCGGAGCCGAGCGGCCGGGCGCTGCGGCGGGGGCCGGGCCGGTCGGGCACGGCGGGCATGGCACACACTCCGTGTGACGGAGGGACAGGGTGTCCCCTTCTTTTTTTAGTTGTTTCATTTCATTTTATTTCTTTAATAAACAAGTATTTTTGAGTTATAAAAAGCCCGAGCGTGCCATCTATTGCCCTCGGCTTCTATTTCTAGATCTAAGACCTTCCACTGCATTGTACGGATAAATATAGGCCAGGGAGAACTGTGGCCGTAAATACACGCAGGACACGGACGGCAATCTTCGGAGCGCTTCCAGCCCGGCTTCTGGCAGGGACAGCGGCACCGGGGGGCCCTGGCTCTCGGCCGGGCTCCCCGCGGCCCCCTCGCAGTGGCGGCTGCCAGCCTGTCCCTATGGGGTTCCCGGCACGGCTCCTTCTGTGTCTACCCGGAGCCCGCTGCCCCTGCGCTTCGACGGGCCGGCACTACTTACCCCGGATTCCCTGCCTCGAATAGGGGTACGGGTTATTCCGCAAACCGGCACGGGCAATGAGAGCCGAACTCTTAAAAATAAACTCACAGATTCAGAGAATTTTCAAGGTTGGAAGAGACCTTGAGTATCATCTAGTCCTGAGAACAGGTTATATATCTTGGCTTAGGAGGAGAAAAAGCTTTCAGATGATTTATGTGCTGTAGTAATTTGACTTGCTATTTCTACTGCGTGGAGCTGAAGTAAGTTATATTTCTTGAAACATATGTATTCACATACCCCTATACACACAGAAATATATACGTATATTGCTGCCTAGAAATACCAGCTGGAACAAAATCCTTTTGAGAGTGAAGGCGAATGTGATGGGGACGTTTGCTCAAAGGAAACAGGAGAAAGGAAACGGCTTTCTCTAACAGAGGAAATTCTTTAAGTACCGCGTTATGCAAATAACAACTTCTTTTTTTATTTAGCTAGCAAATAAGAAGTGCGGCCTTAAGTGCGTTATTACTAAAGTACAGAAAGCCACTGCTGTAGGAATCGGAGGCTCACTGCGTGCTCTTTAAATTGACACTTTTAATGGATTTCTCCTCCTTCTCGTTCCCTGATGTAACGCAAGCGGCAGGCACGGCAGGAACGATCTCTCTGGCGGTCCCTCTCCGCCTCCCGCGAGAGACGCTCGCTGCCAGGCGCTCGGGGCTCCCCGCGGCGCCGCGCACAGCCCCCGCCGACGTTCAAGGGCTCTGCGGAGCTCGCCGCTCGCCGCGGAGGGCCGGCGGCCTCTGCTCCCTTCCCTCGGCTTCCGCCGCAGCCCCACGCCCGGAGAGGAACGGGGGCCGTGTGCTCCCCTTGGGACTCCCGCAGGGCTCCCCCACCTCGGCCGATGCCGTGTCCCTGCACCGGCGTCCGGGCCGCCCTGCTAAGGATCTCCGCAGGAACGGCTCTGCCTGGAGCGGGGTGGCGGTCCCTGCCCCTCGCCCGCCGAGAGCCCGGGCGCGGAGGACTTGGGGAGGGGTGTCCCGAGCTGCGGCGGCCCTTCGGTCCTGCCTCCCCTTCCCTCTCCCCGCGGCTTTGATCTCGGCTCCCGACTCCTGCCCGGGCTCCTCCGCCGCGGCTGGGAGCGCAGGGGCGGAGGCGGGCGGGGTGCGCGGCCTCCCCCGCACCTCTGTGCGCCGGGGTGGGGAGATGCTGCTGCCCTGATCCCCGCGGGGAGCAGCAAGGCAGTATAAAGGGGAGAGGCGCGAGCGGGGAAGCGGGGGAAAGGGGGGACGTGATCCAAGCTGGCATCGGGGAGCAGGAGCCGGCAAGCGGAGCCGGGAGGGCGGGAAGGCGAGGCGAGCTTCAGGGAGCAGGGCGGCAGAGCCGGCCCTTCCCTCCCGCTGATGTGGGACCGGCTGCCCGGCGAGGCTCGGCCGCCGGCTCCCGGCGTGCTGCTGACGCCGCCCTGGCAATAGCCCTCTCTTTTCCACAATAGGGCCACCAGATCTGCCATTCAAGGGTTCCGGCACCCTCCCAGGGAGGGGAGGGAGCTCTCGCCAGGAGTTTGGCTAAGCCTCTGTTTGAACAGACACTCGGAGGTGCGGGATCTCTTCCGCGGAAACCTGCGGGATTTCCTCAGGGAGCCAGACACGAAGGTAGGGCTCACGTTCCTTACCCCTAGGGCCGCGCAGGAAAGTTTATTCGCGGCTCTTTCCAGAAGGTGTTTTGTG